TTACATTACTAGCACCAGGCCTACAACACAGCAAACAGCCATCGAGAACACGCTTAAGAAAACAGCTGAGCCTGCGTTGCAGTAGTCAGTGTCACAGCAGGCCACGTCGTTGCAGGTGTCGAGTTTGTCGTAAGCAGCTTTCAAAGAATCACAGAGACTTTGAGTGGCGCAGGCTGCACTTACTCCTTGATGTCAAATACCTCGTTTTCCTACCTAATCAGCCTAATACAGCGGTCGGAGAGATCACCACAGTCCATCGAGTATTTAGTTTGATTGCTGTCCAGTTTACTCTTTGAACAAGCATCGTTACCCACTTCATTACAGAGGTAACACTTTAGAGCAGCAACATCTGCAGAGAGTTAGTAGTCAAGAATGTTTCATCAGTATTGGTAACAAATACAACTTGAAAGCTACACTCTAAATCAGAAAGATCTGTTTTTGCCCTAAAAACAGGGCCGTTTCGGTGAGTAAAATACAGTCCTATTTTTGGGTCTAATTTGGCTCCCTTAAATCAGGGCCAATACAGTCCAATTAGCTAGGGCTGATTTGGTCCCAGGGCTGAAATGGTCCCTACCGTGGGCTGGAATAGCCTTTTGATAGAGCTTTTTTGGCCTAAATTGTGCTCAAATGGGTCCAAGAAGGGCTGAATCAGACTTTGGCCTGCAGGGCTGAATTGACACTTTGGGGCTGAAACAGATCTTTTTAATTTACAGTGTAAGGGCTGAGTATTTATTACATATCAGCTTTATAATCTTTACAATATATATTAAGAGGAAACTCTTTGGAATCCAGATAAGGACTACATCGTCGAGAGTTTCTTAATTCAAAGCAAAAGCTGATTATTTGATCGTAAGCATAATGAATCCCGAATTATCGCATTTTTCGCATTCATCGATCGCATGTTGTTATGTCATTACAAAAGTTAACACCATCATTCAGTAAAGGGATAGTGTCATTACGGCAATTATTCATTGTTTTTGTTCGAAAATATGCTTGATTATATTTCAGTACAGGTTCTATTAAATGAAAAAACACAACGGCGTGAATTTAAAAAAAAGGCCTTTCGCAAAAGTTGGTCACGTGATTAAGTTTCTCTAAACAAAAAAACAATGCGTTTTGGAAAAATTACTTTGACAGGGATAAAACGAGCTCATAAAAGTTAGCTGAGCGAGTGTTGAAAGAAACCTGCACCAATTGTCCCCACTGAGTTGCTACTAGCCCACGAGTTCGACATATTAAAATTCTATCATGACTCCGAGGCTTTCGGTTAAAATTGCCAATTTTTCACGACTCTGTTGTCTCGCAACTCCCAGAAGAGACTTCAGCACAAACAAAACCAAGCCAAATATAGAAAAATGACCAGAAAGTCTCGGAGTCATGTCAGAATTTTAATATATCGAATGTGGGCTATTTAAGCACGCTCTTTCCATTTCTGAAAAAGGGATTATAGCTGTAGCTTTATGTTTTTATTGTCGATAGTCACGTGATCAACTAATGCAGAAAAAGGCCTACATGTAAAATAACACATAAATAAGTACTTTGCTTCATTCTCTCCCCAGGCTTTGCTTTTATCTTAAAAAAAACATGCATTTTTACTCAAAAACGGCTCGACCACCTGCCACTTATGACTTCATAAGTCGTAACCATAGTAACTGATCACCACCAAACCTGTCTCAAAATGCGTGCGAAGAATAAGCAAAAAGCAACTGAAAATGTCAGGTGCTGATGTTTGATCGTCTATGTTTGATCGTCTACTGTTTAAGGCTTCGTGTTCGCGCATGAATTCACCGTCAATCAAACTAATCTTTAATGGTTTCCTTTCTGATTCTGTTGAGATCACTTGGTGTGAATATACTAAACCAATTATTCACCTTAGGCTCGGTTAACATTGTTTAATCCCCTCGACTTCGTCTCGGAGATTATTTAACAATATTAACTTCGCCTTCGGCGAATAGTTGGTAAATATACTTTTTTCATGAGATTTATAAATTGCTTAATTTTGCATTCATTTATTCAGTGAATTACATTCATTTGCATGCATGCATTCATTCATTCATTTATTCATTCATTCAGTGAACTACAATTCAACTTGGGGAAATTATAGTAACTGGTCATCTTCATGAGACTGGTCAAAGTAAAATGTCATTTCTTGGCTTCCCTTCTTCAATGTCATATAACCAAGCTAATGGGGCCGAGAAATGACTTTAAGTAAATGAATAATGAATGCAGAGATAAATAAATACGTGAATAAATAAATAAATGAGGAGTCCTGAGGAGTTACAACGTTTAAAACTCAGGGCCGGCAGACAAGCAAACTAGTTAACGACGGAGATTTACAAGCACAGCAAAAGAGTAGAACTTAGGATCCGACGAAGGGGAATACCCGAGCGTAAACTCTGAGCTCGCCTGATCTAAAATTAGCACAAGTCAGGCGTTCTGACCACCCGGCACTCATCCGAGCTCTTTGTCAGACACCTCGCTGTCTTCTCCTCTACATGGAGCGCGATCCATGATGACATTGAGTCGCCAAGAGGAACCAGAATAATGAACATTTCAGGCTCAAGAAAACACTTAATAGGTCTCAGAGCCCATTTGTTCTAACCCCTAAGACTGTTTAATGAATCGTAGCTTAAGTGACTCATAAGCAAGGCATCACTGAAACATGTGTCGTTCAAAAAGGTTTTTTTTTTCTTTCGAGGGTGAAAGGAAAAGATTAGCTCAATTTCCCGCAGTCAGAGGGAATATAGTTTGCATCCTCCCCCGTCAAAATAGACGATTGGTCATTAATCGACTCTGGTCAATGGGTTGCCTGTGGACGTTTAGTCTATATCCAAATATGATTCCACACACGAAAAAATGACGGAAGTGTTTTGAAAGTGCTCATCAGTTTGTCATCTCCGAGTGAAGAGAGTGAGAAATCAATGTGTGTATAATCTTTCATGCACCAGCAAGATTTTTTTTTGTTTGCTATGAGCACTGTTTTAACAACATTGGAGCCATTTTTCCCGATACGCCATATTTTGAGTCTCTAACTTTGGCTAGGAAGTTATTTCTGCTCCATTATTTATGGTATTCTAACCACAGAAATTTTGGTCGGCAGTCAGATCCTCTTATAGCTATAGCAGGTTTAGCGTATTTTATTTTTAGCGTCATATTACAGGTATTTTAATTTTAAAAACTTACTGACATGATTCATGACAACTTACTGATATAATACGATATTTAATGTTTGATTATGATGGGGCCGAACTCGTCAGTTTTATCCTTAGGTGCCTCTAAATTAGTTAATAGTGCAAGTCTCATTTACGTAAGCACGTCGTAGCTAGTTGCAGAAACGTTTTTCTGTTTCCTTTAAATTACTTAAGCACCAGGCCAACAACACAGCAAACAGCCATCAAGAACATGCTGAAGTAAACCACTGAGCCTGCGTTACAGTTGTCAGTGTCACAGCAGGTGACGTCGTTGCAAGTGTCAAGATTGTCGCAAGAATCCTTGAGGCTTTTGCAGGAGCTTTCAGTGGCGCAGGATGTAGCCACTGTCTTGACGCCAAGTATCTTGCTCTCTGCCCTATAACAGCGATTCGAGAAAACACCACAGTCCCACGAGTATGTAGCTTGATTGCCTGCCAATTTACTCTTTGAGCAAGCATCGTCACCCACTTCGACACAGACATAACACTTCAGAGCATCCACATCTGCAAAGAATTTGGTGAACAGAAATGTTCATTGTTCATAACAAATCACGACATGAAATGTCAGCGTACTTGTTAGATTCATGTGCCAGCTTTATAATATATGCAGTTATATTGTATAATTAAATAATATTTGAGAGCCAGACAGGGGCGGCGACTTAAGTAGCTAGCTGATTGTTTGGTCATATGGTACCTCCCCTACCCTTGCCGTTTCCCCGCCTGCCCTGCACTCTCCCACCATATTGAATAACTATTTACATAACATTGTTATAATATAAATACTCTTCAGAAAAACACCATCATTTTAAAATAGACGAGTGTGTCATGAAAGAATTCTTGACTCAGAAACAATGGGTAGTATTTTTCGTTGTTCACTTCAAGAATGTGGTCAGTTATGTAATTTTAGCACCCCTCTTATACTTAAACTAGTAAAGAAGGTAAAGGAGTGCGGGCAGTGCGGGCGAGATCGATGCAAATGCTGTGTGCCGCAAAATGGAAATTAGGATTGCGGGCTCTTCTAAAACAAAGGAAATACAAAGAAAAAATACAAAGAAATGTACAAAAAAGCGTGATGCACTTGCAGAGTTGTTGTTTTGCCAATATTGGGACCTCTTCACTTGAGCCCGGTTTTCGAGATCTCGCCTTTACCTCTAAATCCTCTGTAAAATTTTCGATGCGTTCATATGATAGGGCGGGCTGGCTCGGTTCCCGAGATCTCGGTAAGCGGGCTGGAAATTTTGCCATATGAACACTTCAGCCCGGTTACCGCGGTGAAAACTGGATGAATTGTGGCGGTCCAGATGGCATCGTCTTGCATTGCCTGCTGTATTTTCCACATCATAAGCATCCCATTTAACTGTAGTGATACGCTTTAAGAGTTACCGAAGCTATGATAGGCCCGAAAGTTAAAATTTTTGTGTTTCGCCATGTTTGCTTTGTTTCTCGAATTTGGCGCCAGAACTCGTCCCCAGGATCTTTGACCTTTTATCCTCTTGGAAATCGGGCTGAAATTTCTGATATAAACCCAAGGCCAAATTCATGCCGGTAGCCGAGCCAGCCCCGGTCAACCGAGCTCATGTAAAGAGGCCCATAACCTATTGCTTTTTTCCTTTCTCGTTGCGGTTAACGATGTCACCTATTTGCATTTTATATACAGTCGTTTCAAAAAACGTTGTCGCCGGAAGAAAAGCAAAAAGTCTTCAAGCCAAGACCGCAAGGTAATCTGCGTCGTTTGAATCCGTCTTTTGCTGGCAAACAATCACGGTAGTCACTTGAAGGGATAGACGAGAGGGCTCTTTCCCTCTCATTTACGCTTACATAAAATTTCTAAGTCTTTTTTCTAATTTTTTTAAATTTCTGCTCAAGAAATGTTGTGAAATGAGTCTAAGTCTTTTCGATTTAAAACAAGAAAAAGAAGACAAAGTGCGACAAGTGGGTTTCGGACCTAGGCGCTAGGTCCACAGTCCATCATCCTATCAAGAAACACTTGTGAAGGCAAAACCACCACGACAAACTAGTAATGGTCAGCCGAATCTTTAGTATATCTGGATGAGTAAAATCTTCAATACCAGCGAATTTTGAGATTATAGCAGTAAAGAGCAGTCCTGTCCACTGGACCACAGCGGATTTACTGCCAGAGAGTAATTTGATTTACATTTTTATAGTGACAACCCTAACAATAAATGAAAACTAACCATTTCGAGTCGGTGCTTAAATCTTAATCTCTATAGTCATTGCTTAGCCCTTATCACTATTGCCTGCAAGTGATTTTCAGCAATCACTCCATAAACTGGTCGCTGATTTTTATTCGTCATTTATACTAAACCATACTTATCATTTTAGTTTTTTAAAAAAGCACAAAGTAAAATTACGTTTCAGTAGAAGTGCACCCCTGCTTATTCCTATCTTTGAAAGCAATTTTGTTCAGCTAATAGGCCCTTTGCATGAATTGATCACGTGAGCAACTTCGGTAAACAGGAAAACAGTTCGCTTTTAAACAATTTTGGTAGCACGAGCTGAAAGACCATATTAAAATTAGGTAACCTGTAAATTTTCAGACATATATCCCAAAAGTAGCGATTACAACGGCCGCCGAAAATCAGAAGGATTTGTTTGGGCCTGTATGAGAAAAACAACTCTTGCCACCCAGTCACGTTTGAGTGGTGTTCCATACAAATCCTTGTAAATTCTAAAATTTTTAAACTGTCGTTAAATCTTTCCTTTACGCATTTAAGGGCTCAAATCACCTGTTATGAATTAAAAGGAGATTTGAGCCCCATAATGCTTAAGGAAATATTTCGTGACAGTTTTGAAAACTTCGAAATTTATAAGGATTTGTATGGAAAACCATGCAAGCGTGACTGGGTGGCAAAAGTTGTTTTGCTCGTACAAATGCTTCTAACCTTCGGCGGTCGCTGCAATCCCTACTTCCAAGGTATACGGCTGAAAATTCTAGGTTACCTAATTTTTATATGCTCATTCAGCTTCTGCTAACAAAATTTTTCAAAAGTAAACTGTTTTCGTGTTGACCGAAAGTTGATCACGTGATCAACTCATGCAAAGGGCCTATTAGCAAGGTAAAAAGAAATTAAATTTTACGTGTTAAAATTTGCATAACGTGGTAAGGAAGTGGGCGAAAAAATATTATAAACAAACCTTTTTCCGAATAACGGTTCTACTCAAGAGTTAATTTAAGGTAGCCAAAGTTTACTGCAGGTAATATTTTGCACTGCACCAACATGTGAGAATGTATGGACAACCACATAGCCTTTATTCCACCTCTTTCAATTTTTTAAAATAATGGCGATTTTTCTGGAAATGAATTCTAAAGGACTAGTTTTAAGTTTTTAAAAAAGAAAAGAAAATTGTGGTCTGCTGTTCACTTCCCCTCAAAAACGTGAGACATTTCAATCCATAGTTGTGCAACAACGGCCACGGACAAAAAGCGTGATACACTTTTACAAATAGTGTAACGCGCGAATGACATCAGAGTGACTAATTTGCAATTTTTGTCTGAGTTTTGTCATTTTTCTCATTTTAATGATAAAAGACAGACAAACATGACATTTAATGACAAGAGTCAGTCAAAAGTGAAAAATTCGCTAATGCTAATTTCAGTTTGTTTGTCTTAGTTTCGAGTCTATAAATAGTAACTGCGCGCAGCGCTATTAAGTTGTTGTTTTGCTAATTTAAACTTATCGTTTTTCTGGTCTCTTTTGTCGCCATCGTGTTTGCTTAAGCTTCCTACTGTTTGAAGGCCCTCCAACTCCCCTTTATTAAGAAGGGTAGAAATGCTCTCACTTACAGAAAGGCCTTCCATACTGTTCTCAGGGACGTACGTGACTGGCCGCTAAACCCCAACACCTCCCAAGTCATTATAAAAATCCCATATTACCTTTCGGTCTTGGCTTAAAGGCTTTTTGCTTTTCTTCCGAGAACGTTTTTTGAAATAGCTGTATACATAAATCAAAAGGTATGAAGAGTACCCTCAGGTTAATAAGAAATGGAAAACTCAAAAGATAATAATAATCTTTGTCGAAACGTTGTGCTATCACTTAAAACTTGTAAAGAAATGATTTGTGGCACAAGTTCTTAGCGCGCTGTTTTCTTGGTCAATTTTCAAGATTTTCTAATGGGTTTCTCGAATTAAAGGATTCTAGAAACCTGTGAGTTAACGGTTAGAATTTAAGTCAGAACTTTGACTCTCTTCATGTATGCTTCAACTTATTACATTTTATTAATAAGAAGCAATACACGCTTAAATAAAGACCCTGAAAATACCCAGTACACTAAATTTCGCCGTCAGGCAATGGCCCAGTTACCGTTTTCTAAGTAATATTCACCTATTAAACAAATAAACTTCCTGTTTTTCCTTGCCATGGTTTTCTGACAAAACATTCACACCAAACATCGTTTTATCTTGAGCGATCAGAAAGAAGTCGGCCTTAACTTGGCTAAGGCATTCAATAAAATTTACTTCTTTGTAAGTTTTAAAGCTGACAACTAGTATTTTTCAATTCAGTGCACTTAGGTACGCCATGGCTAGGTTCTAAAGCTACACAATTCAATCACTATCATTAATTCAATCATGTTCAATACTGGCGAATCTCGGTAATTTGACAAGCAGAAGAATCGACAATGTAATGGATTCTTTTGGGGGAAACTGGCTTGAAACCAATTTGAAACATTCCAATGGCAATGACAACACTGTCATTACGTCTACGGTGGAAACCGCACGTTCAGTTTACCTGAACGAATCTGGAATTTTAAAAACTATCAGTCACTTACTAGCTGTTGTAGTAACCAAAATAGCAAACACTGTGAGCAAGAGGGAGCGCATGATTCTAACAGTTGGATTCCTTGATTTCAGCAGAAAGAACTCTGACAACTACTTGCATGAACAACCCTGCGTCGAGAGCAACACCTTTATGTGACGCGGTTTAGTCCGACACTCCCGCCATTATCCTTGAGTAATGAGGCGCGAAAAACTGACCCAGTAACCTTCTTTCAAGAGAATTATAATGAAGGTGGAACTTTAATACACAAAATGTTTTAGAAATTTTGGTTACATGTGCACCCTGTGCACCCAATGCCTACCGTGTCTTGAAATTTGCAGATTGTATCAGGCTACATAGTAGCTTCTGAACAATCAGAATTCTATTAAGGTTGCACGAAGAATTCACTAATTGGTCAGGCCTAGATAATAAAATAAAACAAAGCGATTTTTAGAGCATTTCCTAAAAAGGAAAGCATCATCCCAAATAAGGAAGACGACCCCATAAGGCCATAGTGCGCCATACTGACCACGCCGGCCATATTGAAAGAACTGTGATAACTGCGTGCATGGAAAACGCCGCATCGAGCAACACCTTTATGCATCAGTCAATATTCCACCTGCGCGCAGCCACCCCCCCCCCCCCGGGCTGACCCCCGGGCATTAGCATTTTTTTTGCCTTGGATGGCAAATTCCCGGGAGTGGGGACTCTTGAGCTGTCAAATCCCCCGGGG